AGCTTGGAAACACACTGGTACATGAGTGTACATGCCTCAAATCCCAAGAACGGAGGACTGTGGCATGGCCATCCTTGTGGGAGGGCAGAGGGGTGAATTCCCACTTTATCTGGCAACTGCATGCCCTAGAGCAAAAACCTAAGAAACAAATGCCATGGCTTTTGAAATTATATACAATTTTTAGTGCATACACTGTAAGTATGTAATTTGGTTTTGACAAATGTTATCTATATACAAACACCACCTCTCTTCAGGTAACTCTCCACCCCCAATCACTAGTCCCAAGCAACACTGACCTTCTGCCACTAGATTCTTTTCCAATTTCACAGATAGGGAACCATGTAGTAAATACTTCTTTGTGTCTGCCCTAAAATGTTCTTGAGATTCATCCATTATTGCATTTACCAGTAGTCCGTTCTTTTTATGGCCATAGTGTGGTCTTTACAGGCTTTGAAACTAAGGGTCAAAACAGTTTTGTTTTAAAAAAGCTTCCTCCAGTTAAGGAAGCATAGCGGTGCAACAGTGGCTGTGAGGGCCGCTAAGGCGGCTGTCACAGTCCAGGCTGGGTGTCCACTTGCCACTGTGGTACTAGAGTCAAGATGCACCTGTATCCTATAGCCAGCTCCAGGCTAGTACTCAGGTAACACCCTGGGGGAGCCGAGAACTGCCACCCCAGGGCAATGTAGCCCCACGGAGCACTTACTTGCTTTGCTGACTACACTGCCGCACCTAGAACTCTGGGACACAATGTGTATTTAAAGTGTAGGTTCTGCCCACCCCCTTTTCAAGCGTCAAAGTAAAGTAAGCCAGCAGTGCAATCTGACACCGAGCTCCCATTACCCCCTTCCTGATGGAGTGAACTCCTAAGACTCAGGGAGCCTGTGGAATACAAATACTGTGGAGACAAAGAAGGAAAACCTCCAGTCTGACAAGGACAAATGCAGCCTCAAGCAACATCATCTTCAATAGGATCAAGCAGCTTAACCAAAGCAGACCTTCAGCACAGATGAGGCTCTGAAGCTCTCTCAAAACCAACTCTTCAATTTTCACAGCATTACAACTTGGGACCAGCAGTTGGCATAATGGCTATGTCGCTGGACTCCCACGTTGTCGACCGCAGTTCGAGACCCAGTGGCTTAACTCACGCCAGGCACAAGTACATGCGTGCCCAAAATGAGAGAATGGAGAAGGGATTGCAGAGGGGCATGCCCCCTGGCGGGCGGGGGACAAATTTCTCACTTTCTGTCTCTTGCCTGGTGAGCCCACGTGCCCTGTAGCAAAAACCTCTCAGAAAAAAAGAAAACAAACTTAGAACCTTTAAAGCAACCAGTTCTGTGGTAAAGAACTGTCTGGAAGGTAGCCTTAGACTTTCTGAGATATTAAACTGTCTTCCCAGAGTCCAGACCACCAGTTTTTAAAATTTTAAGATTTAATTTGTAATTATAGTAAGCTGCCAGGCTTGGGACTCAAACCATGGTCAGCCATGTAGGAGTCCAGAGCCTCAACCACACCACCTGTTAGACCCCAGACCACTTATGTCTAACAGGCTCAGCACATGTATGACCCTCAACCTAACCTTTTTTCCTTGGGGGGGAAGGGAACTTAACCTTTCTGGTTGGAGCTGAAGGTAACATCTCTAGTTCTCACCCTTACAGCAGTCAATTGGAATTGATTAAAGAAAAGCTTTTTCCTGTCTACCACCCAGATCATCAATGCCGTCCTGTGTTAAAATTTTTCCCTTGCTTTTCCCAAAGGGTCTCATCTAGTCAGTCAGCTAACCTAGACCCCAGAATTAACCAACACTTCCACCTAGAGTCTGATCTATAAATGCCAGCAAGAGCTCCCTGGGATAATGGCTCATGATCACGGGGGCTGGATCACATATGGCTGACAGCATGATTCAAGTCCTGGACCCAGCAACTCAGAAAACACGTGCATGTGGCATGGTCATTCCCTGGGGGCGTGGAGGGTGGGAGTGCTTCCTTACATTCTCATTCTTGATCTCAGGTGTATATACACCCTATTGCAAATGAAAAAAAAAAAAAAAAGGTCATGATGAACCTGGAACATCTCTTCACACAGTGAAGCAATAAGTTATCAGATGATCCATGTCTGCAAAAGGAGCAAGCTCATCAGGGGGTGTCAGTACATGAACCCACCATTCTGAAAATCAGTAACATGATACAAAAATCAAGTATTTTCCAGGGGCCAGACAGCAGCACAGCAGTAAAATCTTAACACTGCAGAGTTGTCCCACACAGCTTTGCACCTAGAGATTTTCCCAAGGACACCAGGCACAAGTGCGCGGATGATCCTGAGCTGGCTGAAGCTGGGGGTAGATTGTGGCCTCATAACTCTGGGGTGCTCTTAAGAACAAACAAAATAAGTATTTCCCTTCAAATTTCGATATAAATGGAGGCAATAAAAAAGACTTTTTAATGATAAAAACCAAAGGAAAAGCCCAAAAAATAAATGGTATCTCAAAGGACCAGATTAAAAAGCATTTATATTTAACAGACTGGCTTAGGGAAATTTGCCCAGTTAATTTTTTAAAGTTAAAATTCCAGAACCCCCTAAAACCAACTATTACTCCTGTTACATGTCCTAGAAGTCCCCAGCCTTAAGCAAAAACCGAGTTTATCGTACAGCTTCCCCTAGTGCCGTGTCTTTCAAATTTGTGGAAAATGTTAAAACTACACATGGGTTTCAAAAAAAATTTTTGCACCAACACTCACCTGAATAGGATCTAGTTTAAAGGCACTAACAGACTAATTTGATTGAAAATAACTATCAGAGCAAGATGAATTCCGCTAAAATTGAACATCAAATTGATAATGAAGTTTGAATCAGTGAATAGTGAAATCACAGATTTGTCAAGTTTATGGTGGTAGGGTCCTTAAATCAGTTTAAAAACTGGACCAAGTGGTTGGTATATCTTGAACTTAAGAGCTGAGGCTGAGAAAGTTTATGACAACATCTTATATTTTCCCATGAACTTTAATTTCACACATAGGTTAGTACCAGGTACAAGTAAGTTCTCAAAGATTTTAGATTAGAATTAGAAATTTTATTCAATATTTTAGCAAATTCTAATTGCCAAAAAAGGTGATTTCCCAAGTCCCAGGTTTACAAAGAAGGAAGTATTCTTTTAGGTGACTAGTTAAATTTAAGGTATAATCTTGAATCTCTGCCATTCCACAAATAAGCGCTGCCCAGATTTTCTTCAAGGATGAAGCACACTTGTTTAGGATTTGATTAGCTTCCTGTAATGAGGTCCAACAGGACAACCACCAGGGCCAACTGCTTTCCCTCAAATAATGGTTAAGTCCTTTTGTTTTCTGTCCCATAAAAGTGATCTAACTAAACCAAAATAAACTTGAGATACAAAACTCAAAATCTAAACATTTCAAAGCTTAAGATATTGAAATGGAGGTATAATCACTCTTCTGAAAATGTTAGAACACTGGTATTGTCACCTATCACACTCATGCTGTCACCTTCCCTGCAGGCAAGAGGAAGAGGGAGGAAAAGCTTCCTTTAAGGTACTTCCTGGCAGCATTATCTAAACACCAGCAACTCACTGAGCAATCAGTACCCCACCTGGGATAATCCTATCAATTTAAAGTAGGTAATCTCTTCCACCCACCAAGCATGAATGTTCCTTGAAGTATACTTTACACTGAGGCTATGAAAACTGGACATTTTGCTATCTCCCCTCCTGAGCCTCTATCTAAATAAAGGTATTTAAAGGAGAAAAGCAACATGGACATATTCAGAGAAATGAACCAATGGAAAAAGTCAGACCAAAATAAAATTATCTGACACCTAGAAACTGATTAGATGTGACAGGGCTATCCTATCTGGACATGGAGATATAAAGGGTTAATCCTGCAGCCCTTCATCGAGATACCTGCAACTCCAAGTCTACCCAACAAATGCCACACTAAGTCAATGAGATAAAAAGGATGGGGGGGGGTTGAGGAAAGCTGAGTGAAGAGATGGACTAAGGACCACCTCTAGTTTTTTTCAGATTTTAGAGAAATCCCTCAAAGAATCACACCATGTAGAAAGTTAAAAAAACAAAGTCCCCAAATTTGAAAAACTAAAGTCCCTTTCCTAAAGTTAAACAAAAAGGAATGAAGAAAAGTATCCGAGAATCAAACAAAAAGCATATGAGAAAAACTGCAAGACTGAAACCTCCCAAGAAAATGGCCCCTAACAGACTAGACCCATGGTACAACCAGGGTGGGGTTTAGCCTACACCTAAGACACACCATAAAATTCCAGAACAGGTCATATATGAAACACCATCCTGCAAATTCAAGACTCAACTTTGAAAGCAGCAATGAATTTTATGACAAGATCAAGACATTTTCACATATGAGGAACTGAAATACTTAAGAGAATGGAGTTAAAATTATGCTGTGGCCATCCTCTGGAGGGTTGATTTCTCACTCTTGCCAGTGTGCACCCAAGACCTATAGCAAAAATCTCTGAAAAGAATTAGCCTATAAATATCCTCATTTAACAATCACATGCAATAAGTATCACCCACAGATCTAACATGTTATCACTGGGTGAAAAAAAAAAAAATCACGGAAGTAATCTCCTGAATTGGCTCAGATAAATTCAGGGTCCGAGAATAGCTGCTTCGAAGCCAGTCTAACATGTCAGATTTTCTTTGAGTTGAGGCTAGCATTTGTAGGGAGGACTGATGGAACATCTGGAAATAAGTTTACATAGCTGTAGTATTTAACTATCAACAAGAGGAGGGAATGTGGAAGCTACTAAATCCTCCTGATGGAAAACTGGTCAACTCTGGGGAGAACTGAGTACGGCAGTAACTTTCTCACAGCATTTTAGGATACTATTTGACATTTTTAACTATATATATTTATTTGACAAAATATAAAAAGTTAAATAAGTGAATACAAAGAGAACAGGGCTACTTTATTAAAATACTGAGTTTATTTCACGTGTATATTTTTGTCTCCCCACCATTTCCATGTCTGACCACCACTACTACTGTGTCCTATCATAACATTCCATACATACTTAAAACCAAGCAAAGGGTGGAGTTCCATCTTTAAAAACTAAACAGGCATTTTGGACAACACATTCTTGGCAATAGAACCTGGACAACATTTATCAAACACGGTAGGGGAAGTTCTCACTCTGCATTATAAAAAGGACAGCCAGATATCAACTGTTACAGAAATGAAATAAGACGGAAAATTTTAACAAACTGTTTAAACTATTTTCTTAAAGAGACTTCCTCCACTGCCAGAGATCTTGAATAGCCTAGAAAAAAAAAGAAAATGTGGTTAAAGAACCACAACATTTCATAGACACATTTAATAAATTAAACCATGTCTCTCTCTAAGCAGTTCAACACCTATTTTACACTCTACCACCAAAAAAGTTCATGCTAAGAACTTATTCCAAGTTTATACTGGGACATAATTTAATCTTCAAACAAAGCCATATGGTCATCTAATTATATTGATGCACATTTCAGTTTAGGGATCTTTAGTTAAGGAAATCAAGGTGATAGATCAGTTCATCTGTCTAGAGATCAGTTTCAGTGGCCAGATTTAGCAAATAAAAACAAAGAATTATTTAACTGCTTATGTACACACACACTGAAAACTTACTAAAAATTATTTGCTATATCTAAAACTAGATGCATCTAAATGAGATCTTAAATTACATGTACTGATATTATTAGCTACTCAGACTTGCTTTTCCTGATTGGGTGAAACACAAAAAACTTCCAGGACACATTCCTTTTTCATTCAGTTCATAGAACGTTTTGTCTTAATGATCCTTTTGCTATGTGTGTAGTATTTTTAGACAGGGTCTGAAACTGCTGCCATGTTCCTGCCTCAGTTTCTTAAGTATCTGAGACTAAATAAAGGAGTGCACCACAGAATCTGGCTTTTCATCTTGATGACTTAAAAATAATTTTTAAAGGGATGAAATCCATTTCAAATGATTATCATGATAAATACAGTTATTATCTAGTTATTTATTTCAAGTTAGGTGGTCCTTTTCTCCTATTCATAAACATTGCTGTGCCTTGTGACAACCTTGAAGTTTTAAGTTAATCAGAAGAATTCGACAAGTTCTTTTAACAAATAATGCAGCCCAGCAGGAGGCATGGAGTTTAAGGCAGCTGGATCCCACATAGACAGCAGAGTACAAGTCCCAGACCAGCAGCTTGAAAAACAAGATGGGTGTGTGTACATGCCCAAATTCTTAGAGAAGAACGAAGAAGGAAATCATGGCAAGGCCATCTTAGCCTCCTCTCTCTGGGGAGGATGCATGCCGATGGCAACTCAAAAAAAAGTATATTTCAAGATACTGCAGCTCTTTTAAACTCTGCATAATTCTGAAAGACACTGAAAGCTATAAACAAGAAGTAGGTTTTTATGCATTATTTCAGGTCATTAAGAACTTCCGTAGCCTTTTCACCAGTGCTTCAGTAAACAAGATTCTCAACTACTGTTATTAAATGCAGCCAAAGAGTCTCAGATGGCAAGAGAACTGAATACTGGATGCCAACAAACATCCCCCGAAATTCATTTGCAGGCTGTCTTCAACAGTACACTATTCTGCATTAACTCTTAATTCAAGGGCCCAATGTCTGGAGGGGAGGATTGTAGTGTGACTGGACCCAAGAGGGTGCTTGTCTGATCCTTAATGCAGACATATATTCTATCATAAACAGAAGAGGGAAAACATACTGAAAAATCGTTTGCTATTTTATGTTCTGTCTGAAAAGAATTTTACATGCCAAACCCTTGTAAGCATTATCTTTTTCTTGAGAAAAATACTGTAGAAGAATCTTAAACATTACTATAACCTCTGGGACCAGCAGTAGGTGTAATGGCTAAGTTGCTAGATTCCCATGTAGTTGATCTTGGTCTGAGTCCCAGACCCGGTGGCTTAAACTCACAGTGGGCGTGGGTGCGTGTGGGCCCAATATCCTGAGAGGAGAATGGAGAAGGGATTGCGGCATGGCCATTCCCCCCCCCCACGGGGTGATTTCTTACTTTGTCTTTCTGGAGAGCACACTTGCCTTATAACAAAAACCTCTCAAAAAAAAAAATTACTATAACTTCTATAATAGCAAATCAATATATTGGGCAACACAGTGGCAGAGTGGGGCCACTGATCCACAGAGATGACCTATGTTCACAACCTGGGACCTGCCTAAGCCTGCCAGCTCTAACTGCCAGCTTTGACAGGAGGTGAAGAACCTCTTTAAAGGTACCTGTCCCTTCTGGAAGAGATACCTTTAAATTTTGCTAGGGGATATGTACACTCAGTAGAGAAAAAAAGAGCTAAGGGATCAGGGCCTGGGACTGGAACCGTGGATGGCCATGTGGGAGACCAGCAATTAATTGAAGGGCTGCCTACACCATCTTCTGGTCTCCAGGTAATTTTTATTTTTAAATTGAAGTGTTAGGCACCTACACATGCCCATACTGAAAATCCCAAAGAATCAAGAAACAGAATGGTGGTGTGACCATGTCCCAATAGGTAATTTTCCCCTATTTTTCTCGGGCAAAATTGTTTTTTTAAACTAACTTTGGCAGAAATTCATCATGCATTTGAAAATAAGCTTTCAGTTTGAAGAAACAGAAAATACTTGTTAGCAGTATTACTTGTCACACTTGAGCTATAAAACTTATGTGACAGTGTGCAAGAGAGCAGCATAATCTTGGCTGTCAATACTTTAGCCTCACCTAAATTTTTCTTAACCAAAAACTTTATCATCACTCTCTTAAGTAGTCCACAGAAAAAGACACATGTTATCCTTAGATGTTTTTTATACATTCAGGCTTATATGATTTTCCATTGTTTAGCAATGACTGAATTGCATAAAGCAGTTTCTAAAGAATTTACCTTCTAGTTTTTACTACTTAGAAACATTCACAAAATTTCAACTTAACCTGGGGTTTATATGTGCATAAAAGAAAAAAAAAACACTGCTTCACTTGAATCTATGAAGAAGTCTCATCAACTCCCAAATAAGCAAAAACCAGACTGCTCCAAGCTGCCAAATGGAATAGCACAAAAAAACCACAGCTTATTTCCTTAGCCAACATAGTACCAAAATTAAGATGTGCTTAATAATCAAAAGATTATCTACCTACATGCAATAAGTGGGGAAAATATACTAAAAGGTATCTTCTCAATTTCTGCCAACTAAATTCTTTAAAACTTCCATGTATTTGATATTAAGTATTATCTGTGGTTAAGAATCTTTTAAAAGGAGCCAAAGAGTGCCTTGTAAGAGACTCAACATAAAAAAGGAATTATAATACATCACAGCGAAAAATCTAGATATGGTTTTATCTCCAGAAAATTCAGTTACCTCCTGATCAGTCATCCGGAAGCAATTCTTGACATAATTGATAAACTTGGCTTCCACTTTGGGAAGAGAACCACCCTATTGAGACAAAAGCAATATTAAGGATTAAGTATAGAAATGTACTATTTTTGGAAAAAAAAAAAAAAAACCCTCAAAGATTTGCATGCCATTACACTGGTTTATTTCTTGAACCTTTATAGTTTTCATTTTAGGAATAGTACATGTTTTCTACAGGTCTGGGGAAGTCCTAGTAAGCAACACATTAGGACTAAAGCTTTTCAAATCGTACCCTATACTACTAAGTTTGCTGAAGGCTCAGATCTGAACCACCTAGCTAGCCAGCCACTCTAGGAATATAAAATATACACCATGTTTGAAATTCTATGGGTATACAACTATGGTAACTTGGCTACCCCTCTGCATCATCTAACAGTTGAGTTTTATCACCACCCTCTACCATCCAGAACCAGATCCAAAAGTATACCTCTCCTTCCAGAACCATGACACCAGTGACCAAAACTGTTCAAACACTGAGTATTTACCAAAAACCTAGGCTCACAGACAACATGAACCTGGGTATCAATTCATGAGGTATACCAAGCTGAATGGGCGGAAAGTTACAATTACTTTTCACTAACATGTAAAATTTGTCATTTCCTTCAAATAGAAGCAGACAAGAAACCACAGGCTATTTGCAGATTGTTACAAAAGGTATTATTTCCAATATACTGTTTTATAAGTACCTTGAACTCTTTATACTTAGCACTTCTTAAAAATTCTTAGTGTACCATTATCACTTGCGTTTCCTATTTTGATTGGCTACCTTATCATTCTTGGTGGCATAAATATTCTTTTAAGCCTGAGGTTTCTGAATGCTAAAGGGACCACAGCAATACTGGGTATATGGTATTAAAAACACTTAATTGCCTCTGTTAGAATATAAAACTGACTACAGCATTTTCATCTTAAAATTATTGTCACATACATTCTTATTTGATTCATTCAAATATTTATTGAGCAGCTATGGCAATACAAAGGTGATTAAAACATGGTCAAAAAGTGAGGCAGATGTACAAGTAATAGAAAGCAAAGTGTGAGGTTCACTGAATCACAGCAGTCAAAAGTGCGTGCTTTGGGAGAGAGATTGCTTCCAGCCTGGAAGGGGGTGCGGGTAGTAAAATCAGGAAAGGGGATTGAGATTAAAATAGAAGACTTCAGTCTGGATTGTTGATGATACTCAGTATGGACTACATTTTTCTCCTTTTCCTCTCTCCCCATCTTTGGGCTTAATTTACCAGTAGTGCCCAGGACTGTTCAATGCGCCTGCAATTAAACCAAGGAGATAGGACCATATTAAAATGGGGGGGAGGGTCATCTAAGAGATGTTATTTTAGCACTGTATGCAAGGGCTAAAAGTAAATCAGTGATATCAGGAAGGCTAAAAGGTTTACAGAGTGTGACTAAAGCAAATAAGAAATATATTCTGCTTTAAAATGTTATTGTCCCAAATGCCTCATCACTCCAAAAAGAATAGATCTGATACCACGTACAGCCTAGTGAACACAGGAAACAAATTAGTTGTCACTTTTTCCTCACCATTCCAATATTTATACCCAAAAAGACCAAGTACCATTCATAGCATTAAAGCTTTTCTCATGTTTCTAAAATGTTTTAACCAATTATTCAGGAGTTCACTGAACCTAGTTCCAAAAACAAAAGAGCAAAAGAAATAACCTCACATTTCCACTATTTAAAACAAAAGGAGACTAGATACCCACAACAGTCGCTCCCAGAACTCAAAACATCACACATATTGACTAATGATGCCTGGTGTGAAGGACAAATAGAAATGATTCAATTTACTGGAAATTATTTTTAATGGTCCAATCATGAGGGGCCAGCAGGTGACACGGAAGTTAGGATGCTGGACTCCCACAGGGCTGACTGTGATTTGAGTTGGCTTGCTTTCTCTTGCTTTCTTTTTCCTCTCTGGTTAAATTAAAATAAATAAATGTAAGTAATCCTTAAAAGAAAAAAGTCAATCATGAGTAGTTATCTCTCCCCACAGCAAGCACATGCATACTTTAGGAAAGTTAGGGTAAAAAAAACAAAACAAAACACACCACTGGGCCCATACATGAGTGTCCAAAATCCTTATAGGATAGAGAAAGGGAGAACTGTACCATGACTATGACGCCCCAGAGTTGGGAATTGCTATCTGTCAGAGTACATGCCCTCTGGCAAAAAAAAAAAAAAAGGTTTTAAGACTAAGCCTCTGTACTTTCTCCAGCTATTAGCATTTTATCCAAGATTCATATGCCCTCTGCTGGTTTAATATATATCTTACGAACAGAAGAGGCGAGGTAACAGTTCTCATTGACTTTAATATCTCATGTCAGACTGTCTCTTAGAATTATTTGTATTTCACCTATATTGAAAATAAGGCCTATTTAACATTACATATGCACAAAAATTAAAGATAAGAGTATAAGTGAGAGTTTTTCTTTTGTAACTCATTTAGAAAAAATTCCTATCAATGAAGAAGCAAGCACATTATTAAATGAAATCCATATCCAAACATCCAAATCCCCAGAAATGTACACTTCAAGTGGGAATAGACCTATCCATAGTTGGAAGATGATTCTTACTTACTTTTTCTATACTTGCTTGCATTTTTGCTTTAATGTCTTCTACAGAACTAGGTCCTTTTGGTGTTTTAGGTGTTTTTTCCTGTTTTTTGAATGATTCTTGACCCTGAGGACAGAAAAAAAGACTTAAGTTGTAACAACAGTACAGCTTTCAATTAAAGCCCTTCCTACCGGATCTCAGTAAATATTCTCACAGCACTCTGAAATAAAACCAACTATACAGGAACCAGACAGTGACACAGGTTAGCACAATGCTCTGTGAGGCTGACCCATGTGAGACAGGTCCAGGCTCCTATCAAAAAATTTTCATGAGCACAGCAAGTATGCGTGTGTGCCCATGATTCGGGGCTGGCTAAATCTGAGGATGGATCAGGCAACAAGTTCCTATTAGAGGTGCTGCCTGTCTCTTGCTCACAGAAAAAATAAAACTCAAAAACAGCTGTACAAACCAAAGTTGCCATTATCAGTCAGTTCATGTCACAAAATTAAGGAAATCACTCCTTTAAGTAAAATAAATTACTTAAGTCCATATTTATAGGGAATACCACATCAGTTCAAAAATGAAGCCAGAAACTTTGAAGAACTGTACAAGAAAATCAGTACAACTTGATGCCTACAGGCCATCTCATATTTAAGTATGACAACCTCCACGGGTAGTAGACAATTATTGAACTACACAAGTACTGGAGACTGGAGTTCTTTTAAGCTCCCTACTTACGAATGATTCCAACATGTATGTAAGATCGATAACCTCTGGTCTATGCTGATTTTCTTATCAAAAAAATTTACAGGGAAGAACTTTATATACCAATTTGCTGGTTTCCTCCCCAACCAAAACACCAGCAACCTTATACTGTGCTATTTAGAACAATGATCAATAAAGCAAATTTAGCTTGTCACCTATTTTAAGGGTTCTTCCCAAGGCCTATCAAACTTCAGACATAGCAGATTCTTCCAAAGTAGACTATTTTCTTCCTAACTACTTCAATAATGCCCACATTTGTTTTTATGTATGCCATCACTTACTTTTGATCTTGGTGTTGATGGTTTTGAGTCTTTTCCGTTCTGGTTTGATTTTTGAGCATTTTTGCCAGGAGTATCTCGTATAGACTGCAAGGATAATACATTTTATTAGTGGTTAACAGTCATTTAACAGTGCAAGTAAAACTGCCTCAAATCATGCAGGAAAAGCAGTTATTCTGACCAGTGATCACAAAAGGCTAACAAATTATGGGAGAGGGCCACATGGAATAAGAAAATAGATCATTCCCTATTGATAGTTATGTTTTCACTATAGTCCTATCCTTCTCAAGAGAAGCTAGCGTCATGGCCTGGTGGTTAAAAGCAAATGGATCTTACATAGTCAACCCTGCAGTTGGGTCCTAGAACTGGTGGCTTGCGAAAGCATGTGGGGTGTATCTCAACAATCCAAAAAGGAGGACAGAGATGAAGAGACTATGGCAGGACTATACCCCAAAGAGGGTCTTTTTCATCTCTGACAAGTGTTCTCACCCACAAGCAAAAACTATTTTTTCTACATGACACTCAACCCTGCAAGTAAGCTTTCATTAACTACAAGCAAACACTAGGAAATTTCCATAGTTTATTATTAGCTATTTTTCTGACAACCTCTTATCATTCTATCTACTCACTTTCTTCACTGGAGCCTTTTCTTCTGTTTCCTCATCTTCAAAATCATCATCATCATCACTGCAAACAGAGTAAGTCAAGCTGAGACATTCAGTCAAGGTTTGGGGGAGTGGGAAAATTAAAAGGATCTCAGAAACATTTACATACTCATTCATTGCACCATTGTTCACAATAGCCAAAAGGTAAGTGAAACCTAAGTGCCCAAAAATTGAACAAAGCAACTGGGAATATGCATACAATAGGAATGTTATTCATCCACATAAGGAAATACTCTCACATGCCAAAATATAGAAGAACTTTGAGAACCGTATCTTAAGTAAAATAAGCCAGTTACAGAAGGACAAATACTGTAGGACTCCACTTGTAAGGTTACCCAAAGCAGTCAAACTCAAAGAAACCAAATGTAATTGTGGTTGCCAGAGACTGGAAAAGTTATTAGTAGACTGAGTATTATTTTAAGACAGAATTGCTAACTCAATACAATCCCTCTAAGAATCCAAGGTGGCTTCTCTCAGGAAACTTAAAGAGGTTAAGAACCATAAAACATAATGAGTAAATTTTCATGGACAATGATTTCTTCAATTTCACACCAAAAGTACAGGCAACAAATGGGCTTCATGGAAATTAAAAATGTCACCAGTAAGAATAAAAATACAATGAGCAAAATATGAGGAAATGCTAGTAACTCATATTTGATAATATACTTCCAGAATTGATAAGAATGCTTACTGTGCTGGCCCGGTAGCCAGCCAACTGGCTAAGGGAACCAGATCCTACATAGCCCACTGTGGTTTTAATCTAGTTCTGCATCTTTAACATGCAGGGCACTTGTACTTGGCTGCCTCCAACATCAGAGGATGAAAAAAAGAGAAGGGACTATTGTGTTCACCACACTCCACTGGGGGATGCCTTCTCTCTGGAGAGGGGCTAATGCCCTCCCAGCAACTAAAGAAAAAAAAAATTCTTATGATTCAATGTAAAGACAAGTAACCGAATCTCTTTATTTTTTTAATTAAAAGGATTATTTCCACCATGCTACCTGCCGGCCCCGACAAATAACCAAATCTAAACCTGGGCAAATGTTCTTAACATTCTCCAACAGATATACAAATGACCAATGAATACATGAAAAGAGCCTATCAATCAAGAGAAATACAATTCAATTCCACAATGTGGTATCACTTTACTACATCACTAAGATGGCTATACGACCAAAGCTAGAAAATGGTATAAATGTTGAGACTTTATGTGAACAAGTCAAAATCCCCACACATTACTACTACCAGAAACATGGAATATGATGATTGAGACATTCTGGAAAACCTACCTGGCAGTTCCTCAACATGTTAAAACCTAGTTACCATAAATATTTAATATTTCTGCTCTATGAAAAATTAAAACAAATCCACAAATGTTTATAGCAGCTACAAATAGAAAACAACCCAATGCTGATTGACAGCTAAGCAGTATGTCTACACAATAGACTATTCAAGAACCAAGGATAATAAGGAAATGAAATGAAATGAGGCTGGATGGATATTGCTACGCAGGTAAAATATGATGCTCTGCAAGGCTGACCCACCACATGGGAGGTTTCCAAATTCACATTCTCAAGCATGCCCAGCACACATGTCGCTGGTATCTGGGGCTGGCTAAAAGTGGATCAGTGTCAGGACCCTACTTAGGAGTGTTTTCTCATTCTCTTTCTCAAAGACTAAGCTTTAGGACCAAAAGATGGCACAGGTTAAGGTGGCTGGATGCCACATGGCTGTTAAGCAGAGTCCAATACCTGGCGACCCGAAAAAGACACGCCCATCTCTACTACAAAGTACTCTCCTCTTCCTTTCCCTCCAATGAGTCCAGAGAGCAAATTAAAAACAAATTAACTTTTAAAAAGCTAAGTACTAGGGCCAGCAGATGGCAGGATGGTTAATGCATTAGACTCTCACATGGCAAACCACAGTTCCAGCACCAGACTTGGTAAGCTTGAAAAATCACCCTGGCAGACCAGCAGATGGTGGAATGGTTAGATTGCTGGACTTGCAAAGTCAACTGTGGTTTCAGACCCAGACCTAGTAGGTGAATGTGTGTGTCCAAGATCCCAAGAGAATGGAGAAGGGATTGTGATGTGGCCATCTGCCCTGGGGGGTGATTTCTCACTTTCCCTCTTCACTGTCTCTTTGGTGAGCACCCATGCCCCATAGAAAAACTTAAAAAAACAAACAAACAAACAAAAAATACTACAACCTGAACACTTGAATAAATCTTAAACACTAAGTGAAAGAAGCCAATCACCAAAACCACACTACAGGGACCAGCAGGTGGCACGGTGGTTAAGATCGTTGGATCATATGTGCCAGACAATACTATTGTTCAAATCCCAGACCTGGCAGCTTGAAAAACTCCAGAGAACGGAGACAGGATTCCAAAATGAACTTCTCTCCCCATCCCCAGTGCTTTCTCATTAACTCTTCCCTGGAAGTTCTTACACTACTGGACATAGAGAGCATAAAAGTCACAACTATATCAACCCAGGCCTCATTAAACACCAATACCATCCATACTTCTCATGTGTTTTAAGCCTATTTCCCATTCTTCTCTTGTGGTATTTGCTAACTCTTAGGAATGGCAAATATTCAAGTGATGAACACAAATAATCCAGAGTTTGTCTTTAAATCTGATATGCAATCGTTTTCAATTTAAGCCTTATGTTCTCTTATCATGCTCAGGGTTTTTTTTTTTTTAATAAGTTATTTTGTCAAAGAAACTACACCCCAACTAAGCCCAGTCACACCAATCTCCTTCCTTTCATCTCCCCATCCTATCAGGAACTGGGGCACAGCTGAAAGTAACCAGCATGTTTTCTAAAACCTATGTCAGCCACATTCCTAGGATCCACCGTCCTGTGAAGAGTGCTTAAACACACTACCAAGTTGGCTTATTTTTTTTTAAAGAATTATTTAACTTTACTTTTAGTTTGACCAGATATGGGCGGAATGAGAGAAAGCGAGAAAGCAAGCCATCAGGTCTGGGATTTGAACCATAGTCAGCCATGTGGGAATCCAGTACCCTTAACTACTTGCCAGCCTCACTGGCTCTATTGTTCATAATATAAACTACCTGCCTGATTATATGAGCTTAATGAAAATCTAACTTCCAAATTTGATCACAACTGCATTTTTTTTTGAGAGGTTTTTGCTATAGGGCGCGTGCGCTCGCCAGACAGACAGAGACAGACAGAGAGATAGAAAGCAGGAAATCACCCCCCAGGGGGGATGGCCACGCCACAATCCCTTCTCCTCCATTCTCCTCTTGGGATCTTGGGCACGTACGCACACGCGCCCGGCGTGAGTTTAAGCCACCGGGTCCGGGACTCGAACCGCGGTCGACTACGTGGGAGTCCAGCGACATAGCCATTACGCTAACTGCTGGTCCCACAACTGCATGTTTTCTCAAAGCCTTTCTTAGATTCTCTATGAAGAGTATTTTATTGCACATAAAACTTGCACCATAACCTAGAGATAGATAAAAGAATAAAACAGCTGAAAGTCATATAATTGATTATAGGATGAATCCCAGTCCCCTCTTTTGATTTTAAAATCACACTGGGTGGGCCAGCAGGTGATGTGGAAGTGAAGGAGCTGGATCCCACATGGTCATCTTTATCATTCAAGTCCTGAAACTGGTGGCTTGAAATTCACGCCAGTAATTCATGTGTATGTGTATCCAAAATCTTGAAGAGACTGGAGAAGGGATTGCTTTGTGGTCATCCCCCTTGGAGGGTGATTTCTCACTTTTCCTGTCTCTGGCAAGGGCACATGCCCTATAGCAAAAGCAATAAATACACACTGGGCAAGTTTACACTGAGTGCTTCAATCCCAAGCAAATGGAGAAAAATATAGGAGAGAATATGGCCCCAACTCCATTGGAAGGGTGCCTTCTGCTCTGAGAGGGTACACATACCCTCTGGCAATTAAAAAAAAAATTATACATTGAGGCCTGCAAGCTGGCATGGTGATTTAAGTGCTGGACTCCCATGAGGCTGACCATGGTTTGAGTCCTGGACCTAATTGCTTTCTCACTTTCCTTTATCTCTGGTGAATTAATAAGAAATAGTAAGTAATTCTTAAAAACACACACACAGGCCTTGTTAAGTTAGGGATTAAAGTGACACAAAAGAATTCAGTGTAGTAGTTTACTGGCATTGTTGCATGATACCAATTCCATAGTTCACAAAACTGTTTATCAGCACAACTTGATGTGTTCAATAAACATCAAATCTTGTTGCCAATTGTATTTCTTCAATCTATTCTTTTGTTTTAAATAAGGAGATTTTTGCATGCCAGAGAGGCAGAAAACAAGGAATTGCCCCCCCGGGGGGTGGGGTGGGGATGACCTTCTCCACTTTCCTCTCAGGATCTAAGGCACACATATACACAATGCGCTCAGCTGAGTTTCAAGGTGCTGGATCTGAGACTCGAACACCGGTTGACTGACACCACCATTACACCATCTCCTAGTCCCAAGAAATTCTTTTTTTTTTAAAGTATTTAACTTTATTTTATTTTTAATTTGACCAAGGGGAGGGGAAGCAGACCTCCAGGTCCAGGACTCAAACCATGTAAGTCAAGTGTACTTAACCAACACACCACCTGCAACCCCCAACAATACATTTGTTTTTTTTTTTTTTTTAAAGATTTCTTTTATTTGGGGACCAGCAGGTAATGTGGTGGTTAAGGCGCTGGACGCTCCCACATGGCCGACTACGGTTGGTTAGAGTCCCGGAACTACAGGCAAAAATCTTCCAAGAGAATTAAAAAAAACCTTTATGATAGGACTTCAAAAAAATTTTGAGATTCAGTCAATGGCATAGCATTAAGGTAGCTGGATCCCACATGGCCCACTGAGCAGCAGAATCCTGGACCTAGTGGCTAGAAAAACAGTCCATGTAGGTACATGTCCAAATCCCAAAAGGATCAAGAGAAAAATTTCAGGGTGACCATTCCTCATGGATGGTGCTTTCTCACTTTCCCTGTATCTCAAATATGCACACAATGCCCTCTGGCAAATTTAAATTTTAAAATTTATAGGAAAAATGAAATTAATAGTTTCAATGCAAAAAGTATTTGAAACCAATGTCACTTAACATTTTTCCATGAATGTTTTGAAGAACCCTCACAGTAACAACTTAAGTTATATGATTATCTTCTACCCAAACCACATATAGACTATCTAGTATGAAATACACCAGACTTGATTATGTTAATCTTAACAGGTCCACCAAATTTCCCTCAGGAAAAAGGTAGTCAAC